AGTTAACACAAACAATGGCAGATTGTTTTAAGAAAGAAGTGCTTTAGTTCTAGAAGAAAGGCATTAGTCTTTTTTATTAAAGAGAAAGTCAGAGATTCTCTAAATATCACAGTGATTGAAAGGTGAAGTTAATCATTTCACATCACAAGTATTTTTCCCAAATGCCGACATTATCTTAAAAAGCAAATCATGTGAACACCTCTTTTGGTTAAATTGAAAAGACATTCAGCTCGCAGTGAGTCATACAAAGCAAAATAACAGAGCGGCCCGTGTGACATTTTTTAAAACATAATTTATCTCAAAAATGTGGTAATTATCTAAATACATAAGGGCAATGATTTTAAGCATAAATGCAGAGGAAAGTTGTAAAACTGTAGACAGTGGATAGGAAAATGTTCTTGAAATAGCCTTGTGGTTTTCTGAGGGACATTCCTTTGTGGATATCAAGTATTATCTTCACCAAAATCTAAAGTGTCCAAAGCCTGAAATGTGCCCTGTGTAAATCACTGAAATGATTCACGTGTAAGGCCATCATCAAACAGTGAAAAATGTTTGAGTAGGTAAAGAGTGGGCAGTTAACGATACCACAGAGCTCTTTGTGTTGTATGGGTGATGACCATGGGGTGACAGAGGGAGAAAAAAGAGGGAAAAGAGAGGAGGAGGGGGGAGGTGGAGGAGGCCACAACAGCGAAGGAGGAAATACGCAGCGGTCTGGAAGGGAGCAAGGACAAGGCAAGAGAAAACGAGTACAGAAAAGAGGAGAAAGTCTAAAAGGTTTTCCATTCTCCCCTAATTTTGTCTGTGAATGTGTTTTTCCCCCTCCCTTAACTCTCCCCAGAGACTATCCCACACAAGCCACACAATCATCTGTTACTCTGATTCACCCGGAGATAAAGAGGAAGAGAGAGAACAAGTATTAAAGGGGAGGGAGGGAGGAGGAAGGAGAGAGGAAAGGAGCCTTCACAAATACGGATGTAAAACCTTTCCATCTCAATGCTGCACCGCATCGTTACTGCCCTTTTCACCTTACATATGACTTCAAAAGCCTCTCAAGCTCTTGACATACTGAATGCAGCATCGTTATTCTGCTAGCAATGTAAGGAATGCACTGAATCTGCTGCAATTCAGAACTCAAACCTCTAGCTTGGGATAAACTGTGCCAGGAACAGCGTACCACATACACAAAGCAACAAAAAGGCACAGGGTCAAATGTATTAGCACTACTTTATGAGATAAATAATCCCTAACTTTGTTTCTGTGTGTGTCCGATGGGCATTGCGTGTAGAGAGAGGAAGAGTGTGTGAAAGGTGAAAGTAAAGTGAGCTCCTCTGTCTAATCCTGTCCAGTCAAGCTTATTACAGTAACTCCATATGAGCACTGCTTTCCACAGAGTTCACATCCTGGAGTGTTTCAAAAGAAACACGGATACGTTTCACTGACACACTGATCTGTTGAATGGGCCTAACTGTCAGCCGCTCCAGGAGTCTAAGTCATAATGATGTATATTTATGTATAATGATATATATTTATAGTATTATATATTGGAAGAATTCAGTATTTTTGATTAATCTCATCCAGTTTGGTGATTTAAAACTAACCAATTACTTTCTCTATGCCTGTCATTGCCTATGAAACTTACCAAATAGCCACAGAGTTTTATAAACTCAACTGGTTGAGTAAATCTTAAGGTAGTTATAATGTTATAACGGTAGAATTTTGTTTTGACAGACTGTTCTAGATAGATTTTGGACAGTTATCATTTCCCATTTGGAGTCTGTGCATTGTTGGATTCAGTTAACCATATAAAGCAGAGTAGTGATTTTGGTGTTCACACTTTGGATCTTTTTCATTCAATGATTTTGTTGTGAGATTGTTCCAATGTGGCATGACCCTGCAGGACAGTAATGTCTTTTCACTACACAGTGGCACTGCTGGAAAACAATGGCAAATTGGACACCACAGAAAAAGAACTGACAACACTAGAAGTACACACGCTGGCTAAATAATAGATTTTGAAACGTATTTTGCAGTTGAATGCCTGCTTATGAATGAACCCATTAACACATCCAAGAAATGTTTTGGAAAAAAAAAAGGGAGTTGTTTCAGTTCAAAAGCACAGCAAACATTTATGGTTAAATCCATCACACTACTGACAAGACACCAAAGTTAAGTTCTCTTTTTATTCCTTCTTTGCTTATATAATTAATCCCATGATTGGAGCTATTATCCATTTTGCTGGATTTACATCCTCTAAGTAGTTTGTATGGTTGAAAGCTGAATGTTAAGGGCTGCACTTCTGAGTGTGAATGTGAATTCTTTCTTGTTTGTGGCCAGCATATTTGGAGCAGACGGAGGCATTTCTCTTATAGCAGGCTATGTGTGGTTGTGGTTTCCACTGTGTCTTTACTTAGGGTCTGTCAGTTTGTTTTATTAGGCTACTGCTTACACTGAAGTGCTGCCTGTTTTCTGACAATATGCTGTAGAGAAACCTGAATGTGTAGTTGGACTGAAAGCTGTTTGATACCTTTCCTTTTGAGTGCTTGTATACAGTTTTCTTTTTTCAGATTCATGTAGCCTGCTCCACTGCAGCATCTCAACTTCAATACCATCTATCTGGTGTTACAGACAGGTGAAGCCTCACAGAAAATACCCATAACAGGAAGATACTATATGCCTCATGTGTGCCAGCTCACCTGTCCCCCCTCATTTTCAATAAAGAAAGACCTTATCTAAATATAGACACTGTCACACCTGATCTTAACCTGTAAAAGTGATTTTGCTAAAGTATTATCCGTGTTGGCATCGTGTGGGAAGAGAAGCCAGAGTCAATTTTCCATGAAAGTCACTCTGGAAATTTGCCAACTCTGGACCCAGTAAGATTCTAAATATAAAGAATAAATCTTCCCCCATAGCTGAAGTGACAACAAAAGCGTACAAAAAGATGCAGCATTCATAACCAGCAAGGAAATCCTATCTCTGGTGTGACACTGGAGGATGGGTCAAATGACTCAGGGAATAAATACAGAGTCACTCCTCTGCCAGCAGTCATTTATTACTGTGTTTGTTTTAATACTATGTTTTTCCCACTGCTTTTTTTTGTGTGTGTGTAACTTGTTTTTGCTAATAGTTTACCTGTGTAAACCGTCGTGAGCCTTTAAAAGCTCTGTATAAACAAAATGTATAATTATATCATAACTTGAGCATCTATATATTTATTTCTCAGTATGATATTAACAAATTGCAAAAATGTAGTGCAAATTTACATTTAAGCAAGTAGGCCTACACCACTTCCAAAATTAGTGCATGATTTTACAACTACAACTATTGGACTCATCTCCACGTTACCACAGCAGTTTTGAGATGCTAAAAACACTGCTTATTAACATAGTGAGGAGAGGGTGAATGATCTAGTTTGTTTTAAGTTCCCTTATTCCTAGTGTAAAAACACATGCCTATTTTCTGTCAAAATACAATGCAAAGTAAAAGTGATTCTCAAATTTAATTTTCACATTATTTTAATATTGTGAGAAAAAACGGCTTTAGACTCCTTTAGCCTCCAGGCCTGTGGGAGGGCGGCTCCTTGTGCTGCTGTGCATCGTCTTTGACTGACAGCTGAGATGTAATCATCATGCTTTGTTATTAAGCTTAAAAGCCAGGACACAGGCAATATAAAGTTAACTGAAGAGGGATAATACCAGTCTGTATCTAAAAAAAAATGAAGCTGTTCAAATGACAACAAATACCTAGCTAGCTATTTAGCACTTACTAATGACGTTAGGAAGTGCACTTTTCCCTGAGCAACCGTTTCTACATCTTGTCCAACACGCCAAGGTGCATCTATTGTAGGGTGCAGCCAAAAATGTATTGATGTGATTCATCCAGAAAGTTCCCAATAGAACTGATAGCGTTAGCATGAAACTCTTACAGGTCAGCAGTAAGTAGTGACAAGGACTGCAGTGCACAGAGGACTGAGCATGAAAATCCACAAAAGATAAAAATAACATTTTTATTTTTGCTTTTTGTGTGTCCATTACAGGTCCTAAACCATAAATTAATCCTGTGGACAACTTAGGTCTTTACATGTAAATATGTTTTGGTTCCTGTTGTTGTTATTATTACTGCTGCTCTCAAGAAAATATGGACTTAAATAATTATTGTTTCCAATTGCACAGCTGTAAAATGGGTTAAAGTATCATCAGTCATCCCCCTGTTTCTCTGTAAACAGTTTAAGTGGTTTTCCTCATTCATTATTAATTAATACATGGCAACCATAGAGTCGGACAAGAAAATACAGAAAATGGACTTCAAAGAAATGTCTAACTGAAGTAAGCCACAAAATGTTAAGGATGAGTGGAGAGAACACAGGAAGGATTTGTGATTTCCACGAACAGATAAGGAAATGTGGCTTCACATCTGACTGCACATTTCGCTTTTCGCCTTTCTCATGACAACCATCATTCTGCTCCACATGTGACTCACATGCAAGTGAACTTTATGACATACATTGTCTTTCAAGAAATGACATCTTCCTCCATTCACTGCTCCAAGCTCAAAAGCATGATTCAATTAGTTGCTATGGTTCCTGAGAATGTGTGACATGGAATTCATGCAGTAAATATCTTACTGAAGGCATGTTTATGCATGATGAGTTTGTTGGACATGGTGCGATGTCACGGGTCAACTACTTTGTATACAGTATATAGACCTATTCATTCATTTTACACGCACATGAAAACACATTGAATTACAATATGCAAACTATCAATAATCAAAGAAAAAAATAAGTTATGCACCTGTATGGAGAAATCACTCACCAAAACCTCCAACAACTATAGCAATAGCATTATTAGACATTTATTTCCACAAACACCATTAAACTTCCACAATATGTCAATTACTCAAGTTCACATGCACCCACACACACAGCTGAAAAAGGAAAGGATGATTAAGCTTTACATGGACACGCACACAGACAGTAAAAAAGGTTTGATCTTACTTACTGTTAAGCATTGCATATTCTCAGGGCGTTTGGTCTCGGCGGCAGCACCATGGTTTGACAGCACAGCCTCTGAAATGTAGACAAAGGAATCACGGGCTGAGACAGTGCCTTTGGAGCACATTTCTGCCTGTGCCAAAACAAAACAGCTTTCTGGATGCACAAAAATAAAGTCCTCAAATAGTTCTGAGAGTCCATAAAAGTGACTCAGAGAGATAACAACAAGCAATTATGGCAACAGTTGTCTGGAGCAGCCTTCGCTGGGCTGGGATTCAAACTTCAGAGCGCACATAAAAGGCAAAAACAGGCCAGCCGAGTCAAGGAAAATCCCGTAAGATGCGAGGATCCAACAAACTGCCCAAGAGAGGAGTGGAAGTGAGAACAAGTGAGAAGGAGGGGAGGAGGGAGGGAGGGAGGGGTGAAGAAGAAAAAAGGAACTCCTCTCTCACTCTATTATCTGTCCGTCACAGGGCTCCTGGGAAGTTGCTATGGTTACAGGGACTCACGCCTCAGTGTCCTTTTAACTATTGCTCATAAAGGCAGCATTCAGCTTTGGGCCACAATGCAGATCTCCCACTCCCTGTTTTTCTTTCTCTCTCTTTCTTTCTGCATTTCCTCCTGTTTACATCTGTCTACATCTCTCGCTGTACTGTACATCTTTCCTTTTTAGTTTCTGCATTTCCTCTGTCAATATTACCTTAACAGAGCCACTCAACCGTCCCCTTTCAAACACTACCACCATCCCTGCGGTGTTTTTATCCTTCCCCTTACCCCTCTATTTTTCTATACACTTCCATCACCACCCCTACCTCCATCATCAAAGAAGAGAAATTATCCTGCCACAGACTGTGAAATGTTATTTTCAAAACTCTGCCAACCTAGTCCAAACAGCCCCAGCACAAGAAAAAGAGTGTAAGTGGATCAGCAACCTTCTATTAACCTTGCAAAAAGTTGGAATAATCACATTATACACACACAAATACCTTGAAATATCTCCTTTAAGTAGCTTTAGAGTTGGAAAAACGCATTGTAACACTGCATTATAGTGTCACATATACATTATATTATAACACTTCAATGAAATGCTATCACCCTTAACCTTAACAAAGTATTCCAATCCAAAACACCATCTATTGTTTTTTTTCTGCTGCCTGAAATGGAAGCTTTGATGTCTTGGAAATCTTTCTTTTTTTTTTTTTTGGACAAGAAGTTACAATAAAAGTATACAGGACTACACAAAGCTTGGCAGTAAGAAATGTATTTGTAAGCGCCTGTCCCACAAAGACAAGCAACATCATTAATCATTTTGCAATTGCTCAAAAATGACATATGTTTAAGTTGAAGTGACAAAGTCTTCAAGCGGCGGTGGTAATTTTGACTCCTGACAGGAACAAAGAAGGAAGTGGTGTGACAACAAAATGTGGGACTTTGCAATGGGAGACCACTGTTTGTTTCCTGCTTCCTACAGTCAGTCAGCATGTATTTCAACCATGACCGTGAACGTTCCTCGACAAAGTACGTATTTTAAAGTGGTGTTTGTTCCTAAACCTAATGGTAACTTAATGGTAACCACAGCATTGTCAGACCATAAAACCGATTTATTTTTCAACAAGTGATCTGCAACAGTTTTGGAAGGCACTGAAAAATTACATTGTTCTGCCAATGGGGGAAACAGATACGTGTCTCCCTAGAGGACACAGATAAAGATTGTATTTTGTTAATTAATTTGGGATATTCCTTCATGTGTAATGATGGATTTTTGTGGGTCCAGCAGAGTCTAATGTTAACCACCAACACAAAATTGCTTTGAAGGTCATCCAAAATGTTGTCACAACCCCACTGTGTTCACAATAAACAAGGATGTCGAGGGTCAGTCCCTAAGCTGTTAGGCAAAAGAGACCACATACACATCACATTGTTGATACCCTCCAGACATGTTTTAAATCATGTGCAAATCCTCCGATTTTTCACAACAATTTGGTTTTTCCACAAAATGTTCAATCCCCTGTAAAAGAATCTTAAAATTACATCTCCTTAAACAAGTATACAAAAGATGTCCCCAGCTATCCATCACGTAGTACCATCAGAGAGGTGTCTGATCAGTCCCAAATTCATTCTGCAGCATGAAAACGAGCAACAGCCAGAGTCATAAAGAACTAGTTTCAGCTACAAGAAGAACAAGGACTCCTGTAACAGATGGTGTGGCCCCCACAGAGCCCTGATCTCAACATCATCAAAAAGAGATCATGAGGAGACACTGAGCGTCCTTAATCCATAGAAGAACTGTGGCACATTCTACAAGATGCTTGGAACAACCTTGCTGCCAAGTACATTGAAAAACTGTGTGTTAATGTATCAAGGAGAACTGGTTCTGGTTTAAAAGCAAAAGGTGGTCAAGGCAAATATTGTTTTGATTCAGTTTTTTTCTGTTTACTGCACTTATATGCAAAGTGTATGAAGTTAACTCATGAATAAAACTATCCATGGCATTATTTACGAAAGCATCCTGACTTTACTTTAATTGCCTAAAACTTTTGCACTGTCGGTATTTGAGCTTTCAAGTTTCCATCTTTTGCATTATTCTGTATAGTGAAGGTCAAAAACATTAAAGTGAAGTAACAATAAGCAGATCACTTTGAGTTTAAAATGTATCTAGAGTACACATGCGGAATAGAAAATTAATAACACATATCTAATTTCTTCTGTAACCCTAAGATTTACCCCAAGAGTAAATGGCCCAATCCCATAGTTGTGGTTGCCATCGTAACCCTGGGGCTTTTTAAGAAGAGAGATCCTGAAACTTTTGAATCTAAAACCTCCAGGGGTCGGGCAAAAGAGAAGGGATAACCTGGCTGGCATCAAGCCCAGGAGAGGAGGCTTTTGTCTGGGTAAGACATCAGTAACATGGGGCACATGAGGGGAGAGATGCGGAGCAGCTGGCAACGCGAAACATCCAGAATGACTGACATAAAGATGGGGGAAATAAAGAGGGACAATAAGAGATGGAAATAATGGACAGTGGGAAAAGTATACAAAGAGAAATTCAGAGACTGAGGGGAAAAAGGAATGTAGTCAGAAGAAGAGAGTTAGAAACTGAGAGGATTAAAGAAAGACAGACAATCACATCAGTTCGGAAAAACACAAAAGGGGCAGAAAATGAAGACATGCAGAAGGCAAGAGTAAAGAAGAGAAATCAAAAGGTGCCAGCAGTCCTCTGCAGTTGAATCAGCCAGTGTCAGATCTGCCAGAACATAAAAAGTCCTTGACTCTGCCCAAATCCTTCATTGCGCCACTCACTCACTTGACACCCAGTCCCTCTATTCACCTCCTGTCACCGACAAACAAATAAACACTTGATGGAGAGAGTGGAAAAGCCAAGGAGGGAGAACATTGCCTCCACTTCACTTCACTGTTTGAGTCTCTTCAAATCACCTCAAGGATCAGGAATCAGGAGTTTAAACTGCTTGCACCAAGAAATAACAAAGCCTATAAAGAAATTAAGCGATGTGGAGTGACAAATGTAAGGTAGCACAATTCTGACTGAATGACAGCCCATTTATGTCTGACATGGGTGACAGTGAGAGTGTGACTGTTTGGAGAAGTACAGTATCTGACTGATATAAAATATGTTGGGCTTTTGATTATAGTGATATTGATTCCTTATTTCCAAGGGAATTGATCTTTACAAATTCAAAAGGCTGAAATGAAAGAATTCAAATTAGTTTGTTTTAAGTGGGAAAAACTTGAACAACAATACATACACAAAGTACACAAACAAAACAAGGCCAGATTACACTTCCTCCACATATGTTTAGGCTTCATTTTAGCTGACATTAGTATTTTAGTTATGAATGAGATAATTTAATAACATTTAATAAAAGCAAAGCAAAGCACTCTATATTAGTATTAAGTTAGAAAAGTTACATTACTGAAAATTAAAAACTTTATACTATACTTTACACTGATAAAAAATTAATTTTGAATTCAACTAAAAATATGAAAAGACTAGAAATTCTTCCTAATCACATGAGAATGACATTGATTTCTCCAGCGCATCTAAATAAGCTGGTATTCGTTAAACTTAATATAAAATGTTAATTATGCAGTGTGAATTGACTTTACTCTACTCTTGTTGTAGCACCCCCCCCAGACACACACACACACACACACACACACACACGGTTTAGTTTAGAAAGTGATACAGTCAGTTGGAGATTTTTGGAAATGGCTACACAAAGGCTTTGATTAATTTAACAACTAGAGTGGAACCTTTTAAGACAGGACTCCGTGCACGAGCGGACCCCGATCTGCACGTCATTCTCTACACAGAGAGGGCCACAACAGAGGAGTTGATGGAGAGATAAGGGTAACTCTGAGAAAATATGAGCACAAAACAACTACACACTTACAAAAAACCTCCTGAGGTCTGAATAATGCAGCATGACTGACATTTAGAACGTTAATAAATCCAAGAGGCTGCTTGGTGTAGCATAGTAAATAGTCAACAGAGCTACAAGATTTTTTGGAGATTATTATTTTGGTTCAAAAACTAAATGGCAATGACAGATGATATGGGTATCCATAAAGAAAACAACAACTCAATAATCATGCTGGAGTAGCAGTGCAGACATACATATCAATGTATGCGCAGTTGGAAACTGTATGGAAGTGACGGGGTAAACTCCCAACATCTCTCTCTTGATACAGGTCAATAAAAACTTAGTTATGTTTAGACTCAGTGTTTCACATCAAGTGCAATGTGTAAATCCTCGAGGTCTAAAAAACGTGCTGAGTGCATCATTTACATCCACGTTTGCTTGGTAGCAGTCTTCTTCTTCACTGCCTATGTTGGCATTTTTATGCCTTCCTTGGTGTCTTACTACCACCAATGAATGGTGAGAATGCAAAGAAAACAGGAACCCACATATTAAAAAAATGCAAAAACCTCACAGGGTACCTTTAAGGTGTAAATAGCTAAACTCACTTGCATTATGGGGGCAGTTTAAAACTGTACTATTCCACTAATAAGGTATTAAGACCCTTTTAGAGGTAAGTGTGGCAACTACTTTGTT